GGACGGTGATCTCTCTGTCCTCTTGACCAGCCTGAACTTTACTCCCTACCTTTACCAGAAACGTGCATGTGTACAAAAGTGAGAGAGAGAGAGAGAGAGAGAGAGAGATAGAATGGGTTTAAAGACATGGGCTGTAGGGTTTTGTCCTTTGTCCTCTTCAGCCAAACCTCTTGAAGCAAGTGAATTTCAATGGTTGACGAATTACTAAGGCCCTAGAAGTTACTCTGTTTGCTCTTTATGTTTTGCTCAATACTTCCTAGATTTTCTTTAAAAGTTGGCAAAAGACTGCTGATTTAGAGATGCAGGACTTTGTTCGTGTTCAGAGATCTTTTTAAAAATAGTAATAATTTTATTATAACATTTAAGTGATGAGATGAACAGAAAGAAATAGGAAAACCCAAAAAAAAGTAAAGAGAAATAAAACTGGTATGGAAGAACCACCAAAAACAGAGAGCACTGTAAACTAATTGAAAGCTGATTTCAAAAAGACAATCAAAGGCAGTAAAAGATCATAAAGGATTCAATCACAGCAAAACACCAATACTTCTGTGAGCCTTATCTCCTCAGGTTGGTCATTTCAAAGCTGGAAAGCCCTGATGGAAAAACTTATGGTCACCCTTTAGATATATAACAAGCCTCATCTTTGGAGGATCGGAAGGTGCCAACAAGCTCATAACATATGGGATCAACTCTCTTCTGTATGTCACATAAATCTTAAAAATCCATGCATTATTTAAACCACTTATCCAGTTTAGGCTTCCTGCAACATATATATCACCTATAAACCAAATACCACAAAGTTACTTTCGCAGTTTTTGAGTAGAGTCATGCTTTAAAAGTCTGGCTAGTACAAGGCCAGCCACCTCATTCCTGCAGGTTAGTACAACGTCTGCAGAAGCACCAAACTGCTGTGAACCAAGTACACTAATTGGGCTCGTGCTGCAAAAACTTGTCAGTGATTATTTTTTTCATTACTATATCGTATGACTACCAAGGTCAAAAACCTTTATTGAATATTGTGACGTAGTTGTGTGGTGTAATCTCTGATTGGGTCATGTGATGGCTTCCTTACTGACATACCTCCTAAAAGTCAGATAACGCAGCCAAGAAACTGGGGTGTGTTCATTATGGTGTGCTGGTATTGGTTGTTGTTGGTCTGCCCATTTGCCCCACTAACCTGTGGAAGGCCACGCCTCCACCGTGAGACTGAGTGAGCACATGTCAAAGAGGAACGCACACCTATTCCTGTTTGTTTTCCTCCTGTTTGTCTGTTTACTAGACAAACAGTTATTGTTTCATCCCATCAGTCACTAAACGAGCAGATACACTGTCCCACCTCTCACACACACATACAGATCATGAAAAATGTCAACATTCGACATTTTATGGCTCTGGACCCTCACTAATGTCTAAAGTCCGCTGGTTTCCAGTTGATGTATCCAACCTTTTACGTTTTCAGAAGAACTTTGATGATTTCTAAACACTCTGCAGCCACATCGGTGATTTACAGCTTAAATGTGACAGACAGCCATGCACGTAAAGCTGACTTTGTTTCTAAGAATAACCGAATAAGTACACGGGTGTTTAATGTTTGGTGATCCAATTTCATGAACTTAACAACTTTTTATGACCAAATAGCAGCTTATCTGTACCTCTAAATCTGTTAATTGTTTTATGATCTGTCGTTGCCATACATTGGTCCACTGTGACATGTGATAGCGTTACTGCTCCGGCCTTCATTCATTTTATATGGTTAAAATGACCTTTACTGAAGCGCCAAGGGCCAACTGGAGGTGGACGGTGGAGGAGTGAAATATCAACACGCTGCATTAAAACTATGAAATACGTAAGAAATCCAGACATAGTTTATGATTTATTATCATTAGTGTTACATCCTCTGCCCTCTTTTCTTGAACAGAGGTATCCATCTGATCATCAGCCAGTCAGCATTTCAAGTTCCAGGTCAATGGCTCCTGGTCATTTATTAGCTCTGCTTTGAGTCGCTGTTGGTTTTTGGCCTCTGCATTCCCCATATTCATAGTTTATAGTTAAGTCTGGCTTTGAGGCTACAACAGCTCAGGCAGGTCTCTCTGGTCCTTATTCTCACTCACTTGTTTTATTGTCAGTCAGGAAACTTGTGCCAGTTATTCAGTTGTTCAACTGCTCATGAATGCAAATATTACATCAGCAAGTCACATGGTGATGACTCAAGATGACCTGCTGAAACTCAAAGAGACTTTGGTTATCAGAGTATTTCATAAACTGCTGATCTGTTGGGATTTTCCTGCACAGCCAACTCTAAGGTTTGCAGAGAATCATCTGAAAACATCCAATGGTCTTCAGGTCTCTGGATGAAAATGGCTCAGTGATGTCAGAGGTCAGACTGCTTCAAGCTAACAAGAAGGCAACGCTAGATCATAGGCATGCAGAAGAGCGCGTGTTGAACTTTGAAGCTAGCAGTCAACAGAAGTCTGCACTGGTTGCACTCCAGAGCGCTAAGAACTAAAGCTACAATTCACAGACTCATCAAAATTGGACAGTAAATGGTTGGACAAACATTTCCTGGTCTGATGAGTCTCAGTTTCTGTTGCAACATTCAGGCAGGGTCAGACCGTGGATCCATCCTGCCTTACATCACATGTTCAAGCTGCCAGTGGTGTGGGAGAGATTTCACAGGTACAGAAGAAGCACCCTGTTTGTTATCTCAAACAGACTTTAAAGTGACCATCTCCGGTCTTGGATGACAAACTGGTCACACGTACTGGGCTAGTTTGATGGCTGGAGCAGTTGTGTTTTCTTTACCATGTCAGAGCAGAAATAGAAGGAAAGATAAAGTTGTAGGCCACGTGACTCCACGTGTGTGGTTTTAATAGGTGGATGTTTTGTGTGATGTGAACAGTCGGTGGTACCTCAGCCTGTTCCTGCTGCAGCCCAACGTCGCTCACCCGAAGGTAACGC